GTAACAATATGAGCTTGGAAAGGATTTAATATTAAATGGAGAAATTAATGTGCTCCCCGGGCTTGAATTAGTATTTTATTGTTGCCCGGTATTTTATTTGTGCAAAAAACAAAAACATAAATATAAATGCTACCCCCCCCCCCCCCCCCAAAGATCTACCCTTTTTCATACATTTATGCCTCTGTAAACCCTACCGTGACTCTTTCTCAGCATGAGCACATATGAATGGAAACCATATTAAAAATATGAATGGACACCATATTAAGCAAAAATAATGAAACATGCATGGACACAAATGGGAATCCTGTGGAAACATATAGAGGACCCTATTAAAATACAAAGATAGAGGCTTTTCATAGGGACAACCAAGGAAACAGTTTATTAGGGAAAAACAAGGTAACAGAGCCAAACTTAATACGAATTCGAGCAAATTCAGAAGAACTCCTGCGAAAAGTCGTATGAATCATGTGAAAGTATAGAGGCAAAAGAAAAGACCCCCCTGTGCCAGCTACTGGAATGCGAGCCATTGCGAGTATTACAAACACAAATGGTCAAGTATATTTGGAGTGGAATGTCTGCGAATACATATGACCTTGAGCGACGTCACGAGATCTACTTCTGAGACTTTATAAAACGTGCGCCCGATTGAAAAACGATTGAAATTCAATCGGGGGCCGGATTGAAGATTGAAGATTCCTGGAAAACCTTTTGCTGGGAATCTTCAATCTTCAATCTTCAATCCGGCCCCCGATTGAATTTCAATCGTTTCAATCGTTTTTCAATCGGGCTCACGGTTAATATACGAACACTTACATATTAAGATGGCCCCCCACCCCCAACCCTAAAACCCTAAATCGCACCCAAAACATAAAAACACGTAGATCTTTGGGGGGGGGGGGGGCATCATATAAATATACATATAAAGCATATACATATAAATATAAATATAAATATAAATATAAATGGTCCCCCCCATGATCTACCGTGACGTGTTTTGCTCCTAAAACCCTGTTAAAACCCGAGCAAAAACCATGCTTCCACTAATATTTCGTTTACACACCAAATCTTTCTCTTGTAGTTGATTTCTCCGATAACCTACAAAGAAACCAAAAAACTGAAAAAAAAAAACAAAGCCATGGAGGCCGGGAGGCTTGTTTTAGAGTTTTTAGTTTTCTCGAGTTTTTTTTTTGGTTTTTCTTGGTCACAACTTAAAAAAAACATGTGTTTTTTTGATTTTTCAAGTCTGAGGGGGTCGGAACACCAAAAACACCATGGTTTTTTTGGTTTTGGGAAAAAACCAAAAACTGACCACTTCTGTTTTCTGGTTTTTGCCTTGCGTGGGACTGGAAAACAAAAAAAGTGTTTTTTGGTTTTGACCAAACAAAACAAAACAAAAACATCGAGAAAACAAAAAAAAACCCAACAAATGGCCTCCTGGGCTCCATGGCTTTGGTTTTTTGGTTTTTTGGTTTTTTGGTTTTTTGGTCCCCCATGTGTCCCCGAGCAAGCTCGAAACCAAAAAATCAAAAAAACAAAACAACCAAAAAAAAAACAAAACCATGGAGGCCGGGAGGGCATTTGTTTTTGAGTTTTCGGTTTTCTCGAGGTTTTTTGGGTTTTTCTGGGTCAAAACCAAAAAAACATGTGCTTTTTTTGTTTTCGAGTCTGAGGGGGTCGGAAAACCAAAAAAAGCCCTGGGGTTTTTTGGTTTTTGGGATGAAAAACAAGAAAGCACCATGTGTTTGTTGGTTTTTGCCTTCCCTGGGACTAGAAAATCAAAAAGCACATGGGTTTTTTTGGCTTTGACCAAGCGAAACTAAAAAAACATCGAGAACACCAAAAAAACCCAAAATTTGAGGAAAACAAAGGGAGGTAACACTTAGACCGGGCAAGGGGGGGCACCCCAAACTAAGCTCGTCTAAGCCACTGCCCCTTCGGCCGAAGCCTCGTGGCCTTCTGCTAACTTCGTCGAACCTTCCCTGCGTTCGCAGGGACATCTACTATCCATGGGTTAGTCTTCCAGCTAACCCTTGGACCCTTCGTGAATCTGTCCTCAGGTTCGCAGAAGTTCGTGGCACCCGGCTCTGCCCCGCTAAGTTCGTGGAATGGGTGCCTGTTGCCCGTCAGACGGTTACCTACCTCCGTGTTGCCCTGAGGTTTGGTCCCCCATGTGTCCCCGAGCAGGCTCGAAACCAAAAATCAAAAAAACCAAAAAAACCAAAGCCATGGAGGCCGGGAGGAATTTTTGTTAAGAGTTTTTGGTTTTCTCGAGGCTTTTTTCGGTTTTCTTGGTCGAAGCTTTAAAAAAACCACGCGTTTTTCGAGTCTGAGGAGGTCGGAAAACAAAAAAATGCATTTTTTGTTTTTGGGATGAAAAACCAAAAAAAACCATGTGTTTTTTTGGTTGTTGCCTTCCCGGGGACTCGAAAACCAAAAAAGCACATGGGTTTTTTGGTTTTGACCAAACAAAACCAAAAAAGCTCGAGAAAACAAACAAATCCAAAAAATGGGCCTCCTGGGCTCCATGGCTTTGCTTTTTTGTTTTTTTGCTTTGTTTTTTTCGGTATAGGGGGAGTCCCCGTGTAACTGAAGTTGAAATGCTTCGGCTCGAGAGGTCTTCAATATGATTACAATTATTATTATGGGTCCCTCTTTTAGTTTTCTAAGCGACGTCCCTCTTTTAGTTTTCTAAGCGACGAAGAAGAACCGCGAAGAACCACGAACCGCACAGAACCGAACAGTCCCGAACCGAACCGCCTGGAAACGCCCCTTGTGCAATCAAAAAAACGAACCGGATGGAACCGAGTACTTCCTGCACTTGTTGATTCTTACCAGTATTATTCTTATTAGTATATTTCTATTATTTTTCCATTATCATTCCTATTTGTATTCCTATTCATAATTCATATTTGTATTCCTCTTCATATTATGATGATTACTACTACTACTACTACTACTACTACGACTACTACCATTATTACTAGTAGTAGTATGTTTATTCTTAGCAGTATCTTTATTACGAAGTATTATTCTGATTATATTTTTTACTACTGTGATTGTTATCATCATTATTATTGACATTATCATTAATGGTCCGATTAATTTTAGTATTATTGCTATTATCATTAATATTATTCTTATATTTAATATTATGTTCCTATTTATGCTGATTATTACCTTCTCATTATTGCTATTACAATTATTACTACTAATATGATTGTTAGTGGTAGTAGCATCAACATTACTACTATTTTTCTTCTTATGACTACTATTCTTACTATTGTCATCATTATTCTTCTTATTATGCTTATCATTACTATAATTAATATTGCCATTCTTATTATTACGACTAGTATGATTATAAATATTAGTATTGTTGGTATTATTATTCTTGCTGTTGTTATTCTTGTTATTGTTACAACTATCATTATTGTTATTATTGTTATTCTTATTGCGATTATTACTGTTATTACCATAGTTACTATTATTCCTATGATTATGTTTCTCATTTGTATAAGAACTATTCTTACTACTTTTATTGCTCTCATCATTGCTCTTCTTCTTCTGCTTCTTATTTGTTTTACTGGTATTCTAGAATTCCTATAAGAATAATATTCATTAATTATTATTACTACCATTTTCTTATTACATTCTTATAACCTTGCCAACTTTGTATATCATACTAGTGTGCATGCAAGCCCCCCCCCCCCCCCCCTCTCTCCCATTACGATTACTACAATCAATTACTACAATTATTATGATTTAGTATTACTATTATTGCTGTTTTTATTCTTATCATCATCATTATTGTAACTTTGCCAACTTTGTAGATCATACTACTGTGCATGCAAGGACCCCCCCACCCCCGCCCTCTCTCCCAGACCCACCGCGGTAGATCATGGGGGGGTGGGGGGTGAGCATATATATGTATATATATATATATATATTTTTTTTCTCTCTCTCTCTCTCCATATAAGGCAAACAAGCCAAAGGCACAGGGACGCCATGGGCTCCTCTGGTTGCATGGGCATTGTTACCTGTGCTTGAGAACGCTTGGCACGGCAATCACCGATGCTGAAGCTCCTTGAGCCACAACACGCTACGCGTCGACATTGCTGCGGACTCTTGCGGAGTATCATAGCTAACAATGGTATGTGGCATGAGACCAGGTGCCAGTGCAATGCAGCTGGTGTTGCGAAAGCCGATGGCGTTGGCGATGTGACAACTAGACATTGCACAGCCTGCGCAACAGTGATTTGCCATTTTCGCTCGCTCTAACACATGTTCATGGGTTTGTGACTTTCAGGGGGTCATTTCCCCCCCCCCCCCCCCCCGTTTTCAGGCCCTTTTCTGACCTTCAAGGGGCGCCTGTAAGAGCACATGCTGGTTAGAGGGGTGCTTGGCAAGGCTTGCAAACGTGCATTGCGCATTACTACATTACGCAAAAAATTAGCCAAGGGGCTGAATCCGGGCTTAACTCTTTAAAACATCTTTAAACGACGAGCAACGGTAGGATTTGGGGCACATCCTACACCAACCTTGGACGACTATTTGCAACAATCCTCAGATGACGGGTTCGGACAAGATTCGTAGAGGGGGTCTGTGGGTTTCGGGACACATGGGCTGCACTTGTTTGTGGGATCTGAAGTACTAGGACCAGTGAGGACGGAAAGAAAAATGCGCATTTTGGAGGTTTTCTTTACGAATACAAGGAAACCGAAATTCAAAAACAAAAAAATATAAAGCGTTGGCGATTACCCAGTTGAATCAGATCAAATTCAGATAGTTTACCTCAAGTACCTTCTCGCCAACATTTTGCAGATGAAGCGTTGCGTCGTCGGCCTCTTCCTGCACTTTTGGCACAAGATGGGCAACAAGCAGAACAAGTCTTCCTGGCCGAGTTCTTGTTGCCCAGAAGCGTGTAAAAGGACGAATGTAGAAAAGTAGGACAACAGAAATGCAACCCATTGAAAGCAGTAGGAACCAAGTGTGAAGTGCATCTATTGAATAGGAAGTGTACCGTTGCAACACTCTGCACACTCCACAACGGCAGCCTGGCTGTACTGTGATTCACCACCACCGTACCACGAGGCAAAAGCTTGAAGGGGTGTCAAGCCGCTGATGTCGTCCAGGGGTCTTGCTGGCAAGGCCTGCCACTGGGCATAGAAGCAATGGTGTTGGCAGCTGTCAAGGAAGTAGCCGCCCTTGTTCTTCTCAAAGCTGCTGGCGATTGATGCTGCAAACTTCGTGATATATGCCTGCGTGCAGATGTCGTCTGTGCATGCTGGAACATTCTTATGCCTCGCCCCATCGAAGCGGCTCTGCAACGCGAAAATCGGCGTCTGCAGATACTTCATGGCAACCGGACCCAGGAGGCACATCCCCGCTCGGCCTGCGTAGTCGCTCAGGCACTGAGGTGGGAGAAGGCTTTCCCCTTCATGGGCATAGACCGCACCGTTAAGGCGTGGAGTTATCCACTCCTCGTCCAGGAAAAAGCCAGAGTCCGCGAGGCCTACGACGCGTGCATTCCCGGGGACCAGCTTTTTGAGTGCATCTAGGTGTGCATAAATGTGCATGGCACCAGCACTGCAGCCGCCCAAAACCACATCTGTGCTAGACTCAAGCCCCGCGATGTCTATGAAGAGCGCCTCAGTGATGTGCTTGCCCCAGGAGTAGAGCTTCTTCCCAAAAACCGTGACAGGCTCTGCCCTGTCACCTGCATAGAAACCACCGTCGCAGTATCGGACGAAGATATGGTTCCAGTCATACATCAAAGGATTCTGCTGGGGATTTCGCGAGAACTTGATGTGGTCAGCAACTGACATGTCCATGGTCTCTGAATCATTTACGCTGCTTCCAAGGCGCTTGTTAGAACGGCGATAGCAGGCTAATCCATGAGAACACCAACCGCCGCCCTCGTGAAAGATCATGTACTTCTTCTCCCCTGCACCCGACCCCTTGCTCATGTAGTAGACAGCAGGGCTTCCGTCCAAGCATCGCGCCTGGTGCTGGCTTCTTGGACGTGGCTTTTGCGAAACGGACCGCGGGCTGACAGCAAAAGCACCGGATAGCTCCCAAAAACACAATAGCCCCAAAGCCTCTAACTCCCGACCAACATGAAGCCCTAAGTAGACTAAGCCCGGCCTTCGGGTAGCCGTCCAGGAAGTGGGCCGTGCCCATCTCGGACTTGCCTGTGCCAGCCGAGTGGGTCAGCAGCAACGAGAAGAACACCGCCCAAGCCATTTCTGGGCTCTGCGATGGACTTCGGATCTCAAGGGACGAGTCTATCTAAGGTGGGGGAGGAGAGGGGGAGGGAGGGGCGGTTGAAGGTAGGATTCAGGTTTTGGGGATGGTGTTGACATAGACTCCGTTCCTGTGAACAGATTTGAGCAGATCGGCCAAGGCAGGGGGCTTCCAGGAACCAGGCTCATTCATTAGGGAGCTGCGGATTTCGACTTTTGGTGGATTAGCATGTTATCACTCTCACGCACACGTACAGGCCCTCAGAGCGGCCCTCATGCTGACAAACGTTAAATGCAACTGCATACGTGCTAGGGCTCAAAAACTCGAAAAGTGCTAGAAGTATATACCCCAGGAAGCGGAAAGCCGAAGAATGCGAAAAGTGCCAGGCCGTGAAAAATTGAGAAAGTCAAACGTGGGAAAGCGAAAAGTCCCGAAAGTGCCCCAGGTTGCGAAAAGTCGAAAAGTACGGAAGTCCCGGGAAATGGAAAAATTTCCCAGGACTCGAAAAGTAGAAAAGTGTGACGAGTGCTGAGGAGCGTGACGACATGCCCCAGGACGACAGGGGCGCCAAGACGCGGAAAGTCAAAACAAGAAACGTCGACAATCTCTGTCCAGGAGTTGGGGAGGAAGAAGCCCTCGACTTTCGCTAGTTGCTACGAGTACAGTGCCGGCTGCGTTGAAAAAAACATTGCACAAGAGGATTTCTCAGTCTGAAGCGATTCCGCTGAATGGCAGGATGCTTTTTGAGGCGAAGAGGAAAAAAGAGGGGGAGGGGGGCATCCGCAAACACCATGCTTGCATGACGGGTTCGGAAATTAAATGCTTGTAGTTGTTGCAAAACAAAGGTGCGGCGGCCACCACTTTTTGTTGTGTCTGCGGATGCGCGGTTGCTTGTTGCTGCGGATGTGGCGGCGTCATTCTAGCCACCGTAGCTCAAACCTGAAGCAGCCGACCTTCTTTTCTCACAGGTTGCAGTGGTGCCAAAAGGCTGAGGACTGCAGGCTTGGCGCGACTGCAACATAGTTATTGGAGCGACACAGCAAATTGTATTGGTAGCATCACATTGCAGGATCCATGGGTGATCGGATGCGACTGAGCCTCCAGACCGAAACCAGAACTGAATTCATTGGTTAAGTTAAGCTGACGCGTTCCACGTCAAGGCAGTTGCCACGTCTGTGGCGACTTGAGTCCTCGTCACGTGCCCAAACTATAGGCTGAAAGTCTGTACTGTACAGATGACCTGCCTTCTAAAGCAGCGTGAATGTTGGACCGTCGGGCGCTGTGAAGTTAAACCGCTTCATGCCCTTTTGTAGTCAGCCTGACGGAATTGAGGGCCTGGATGTGTTTCTGGTTTGAACATCGGAACGCACAGAGCCCGAATTGACGGAAGTGAACAGGTTGTGGGGCTCATGAACTTCGAGGAGGTATCTATCCCAGTTTGACAAGGGCATACACTCGCGGTGTTCTAAATAAACCCTGTCCACCCCTGTGTGTCCTGACCAAGGAATACCACCCTAACCCGCGCGCAGCGAGCAGGAATCGGATCTTGTAGACTGTTGGATTTGGGGTTCAAAAGGAGAAAGGCTGCAGGCCATATTGGGCTGCATGATTCTACGATGTACCGTAAGGACTGTAAGCGACGTCACTAGCGACTCCGATTGCAATCTCGCGGCTGCGTCGATCCTTTACACATCCCGGGTGTGCAGCGAGCGGGTTTCCGCTCAAGCTGGGAAAACTATCACAAGCAGAATTCGACACTTGCAGTCACATAAAGTATATAAATGCGAGGACCGCTAGGAATCCTGCCGGGCCCGCTTGTACTCTGTCTGCGCTAGGACTCACCAAACTCTTACCAAAGTATAGTCGGCCATACTATGCCATACTGTCAGCCAGAGCCTAGCACGGCATGGTTTTGACGATCCTGCGAAGTCTTGAGATGTCTTGAGCTTTGCTCTGGAGTCGACCCAGACTCCATTGACCCCACGGCACCTGACAACTGGGGGCCCCCACATCTCGCGGCCTCCGGTGATCTAGGGCGAGCCGTGTCCGTAGCCACCGCCACCTGAGTTCACTAGATTTGGGACCTCACAATGTTACAATTTTTCTGAGTCTGCTGACTCTACTGAAGTGCACATATCATGGCTTCGACAACCAGAACATGGTACGGGGATGAATCGGCTAGCTTACATCGCGAGGTCACGGGTAAGTAGCAGCAGAAAAAAGCCACCAAAGCAGCTTCTGTTGTGACCTTAAGTCTGACATTTTGCTCGCACAACCTGGAGGAATCTTCAACCCTGGCCTTCGGTTTGTGAGCACGCCGGCGATCTCTTGAGCGATGTACGCCGCGTCCTTTCCAACGCAGTCCAGGTAAACCTTGGATTTCGGCATCGTTAGCTTGACCAGGGTTCTTGCCTCGCCGTCTTTGTCGTAGAGGTGGTCCTTCCCATAGGGTGGCTTCGGCGGATACTCCTCTGTCACCTTCAAAGGCAACACCTCGATCCCTTCGTCCAAGGCAAACTTAAGCTCCGCATGTGACGAGTATTGGCTGGCCGTCTTCTCTGCATAGTCGCTCGTGCACACGGCCAGCATGATACCGTTCGCCTCGGACAGCCGGTTGAGGTACGCCATCGTCATGCGCCCGAAGTCGTCACCTTGGCTGCCAAGCTGCCCAGTTCATGGACCGACAAGAACTTCGTGTAGAAAACCAACACATCCAAACATACCTCCTGACCCGTCTGTGTCACTATAGTCGGCGTCCACCATGAGCACTTCAATCCTGTGTTCCTCTGTCAGCAGCCGGTGGGCTTCACGAAGCAAGTCGTGCGTGGCCTTGTTGTTAGCGGTGAACCGTGCAGAGATCATGGCCAAGCGGGCCAAGCGGGCCGGCACCTGCAAGAGCAGGCACTGGACATGTTCGCACCCTAAGTGGGTATTTGGTTTTTGGGAGCTGTGAAATGGAAGATGCCCGCCCTTCCTTTCTTCTGTGTGCTCCTTGTTACTGACTGAGGCCCTAGACGTCCCTTTGGCCCCAGAGCCGTTGCACCACTACCCGACAGGCTTGTCTTTCATAACAGCCTTATGCATGCACTGCCATATATATATATATATACAAAAAACAAATGTGGGTGACCAGTGAGGCTGTCGAGTCCGACAGATCTCCCGAAAGAGAGATATCATTCGAGTGAAGCAGGCTTTGGATTCCGTGGGCCGGCTTGAGGACACCCCGGGACGAGGTGCTGCAAGTGGAACGCCAAGATCTTCTGAAGCTGCAGAGTAGTTACCGCTTGTCCCCGGCAACTCCAAATTTGGGACCGAGAATTTCGAATCAGTCTTGGAGCAGGTGCATGCCCCAGCTTTGCAGGGACAAGAGTCTTGCACCACTTTTTTGCTTTGAATCCTGGGGCACGCCAGCCGCCTTCTCAACCTCGTCCGTCGCAAGGGTTGGCCTTCATGCAGACACATTTAGCAAACATGTGTGATTACATCCCTGAGTGATGCTGTTCAACCCTGAAAATCCCTGAAATATCTGCAGCACTCCGCAGAGCTTTCTGGGTGAAGTTCCTGGACATGCGAACATATCACTGGGCGCGTGACGGATCTGCTTTTGGATGTCCACACTCCGGATCCTGGCTTCTCCGATAGAAAGGGGTACGACGCAACATTGCTGGCTACTCTGCCGACTGCGCTCTGCGAATCATTTTCGTTGCCAGATTGATTAATCTTCGTTTGCTCGGAGCAATGCATGTTGGTTTGGGCATGGTTTGCAGCCGTGACCGTGACAGTCGCCATGAGCGGTAACGAGGCGGCTGTTTGCTGTCTGCCCTTGCTGGGGAACCGGAGCATGCAAGGGTGGTATCCGGACGCACTGGTCGTATGCAAGGCCCGTTTGGGCAGGGTGGTGTCGTGAGGACTCATGGACTAGTAGACTCTAGCCCCTTTTCTGTGTGGATCTTGTAGGTCGACAAGGAGGTAGTTGGCTCGCTCCACAAAGGTTCGGTGGGCTCCCATGAGATCTTCCAACGGTCTTGTGTGCCACGCTCGTCTCGGCGAAGGCTACTTGCAAGGATTTCGGTTATGGGATGCTGCCTGCAAGTGCCAAGCGATAAACACATTCTGCGGAATGCCAATGATGCCAATGACCATGACAGTCTTGCGCGCTGGGGCTTCTGTTCTTTTCACGGAGTGTATTTGGCAGGTACACAAGAATTGATGAGTTGATGTGGAACGAACTTCTCTAGCCATTGTCTGCCACTTCTTCCCACAATTTAAGGCCACTTTCAACTGTAGCGGTGAAGCGCAGAAAATGGTACTGATGCTCCTATGCCGTGTTTAGAGAGTCGCTCAGAGATTCCCTGTCGTTGCTCAGTTCTGTCTCAGTCTTCCAAGCGCTTTTTTCATCACGTTGTCCAGAGGACTTTGAGCAGCCCGTTGTCTCCCACCGCTGGACGTTTGACCCCGAGCTGCCGTCAGGAAACATCGGGCAAAGGGATGCTTCGCCATCTTCGCCTTCATTGGGATACACCCGCCACCCTCCTGTCTTGATAGTTGCCATCCCAGTTGCACTTCGTAATGCCAACGCTCTTGGATTGATGGACTCATGTGATGGCATCCGATCGGCAAAAGTTCCTCCGAAGCAGGCGCCGCCGCCCCACGCAGCGCCTGCACAACATCTTGAGACCCTCGTGGTCCAACACATGCAATGCACACAAAACACAAGAAGACTTAAGGAATACTGGCGAATATTCAGGAATCAGACGAGATTTCTGCGAATGCTTTGCCAAGTGCTGCCAAAGCGGTAATATGAAGCTATTTAGATCTCTTCTCCATCCAGCCGGTGCCTGACGGTCGTGTCCAGTCGGCCCGATTGGTACCTACCATCCGTGTTGCACAGCCCAACGAATCGAAGTGTAAAGGAGCCCTGAAAGGCTCCGCAATCGATGGAAGTAGCCCGCTAACAAAGGCGAGGCTCTGTTTGAGTACCTCAGATAAGTGTTTGTCATTTTGCACAGGGGTGCAAATGCACAAAGGGCGACTCGTACACATTCAGGCGATGCAAACCTTGCACTGAGCCTTACGCAGTCCCAGGCTCGGCTCTTGTGTGCCTGGTAGAGCCTGAAGCCCAAGATCATCACGCAGCTCTGCCCCACCATTGCAGCCCTCGGTCCACGCAAGAAAAGCGAACAGCTCCGAACCAGCAGCCCGAAAATGGCTCCGACTGCATGCCCCAACATGAATGGCCCCAATTCATCCACGACTTGCTGGAGGGTGAGTCACGCTTTAGTTTCAGTCGAAATGTCGCGCAACATCTGAAGCATGTCGCAACAAGGAGACCCTTAGACTGATGAGACTGTGTTGCCCGGTCGTATGCAGAGATGACGTTCCTTTGTCCCATCTTCCGATACCGTAAGACTGATGTGCTAGAACATTTCATCGTTTCATGGGCTTATGGAAGCCAGAGCGAGCTTCATGCAGTGCATACACCTTCGTTCCGCAACCGCCGTATCTCGATATGCCATAGGATCTAAGTTGCGCCAATGATTCTTAGGTCTACAAAGGAGATGATGTTGGAGATGGTGTGATAACATCTCTCTATATATGTACGTGTATATTGTTTGCGACACTGCCAGCCACCTGCTTCGCTTCACGACGTCGCGCCTCCACACTCACACCAGGCGGAGGCGGACTAGGCGCACTGGGCACGACGACGATGCTGAAGAGGCTTGGCCGGCCTTCTTTGGCTGCCATCCTGGACTCTATGTGGATGTCACGATAGGGTTTGAACACGCGAATCCTTCAAACCCTTCAAAATTTGTGGTTCCTGAGAACGCGTTGGGATGCTCCGACCCCCTGCACCCCGTTGGACCCACCACCCGAAACCCCCTCAACGGCCTTGGACTTTTCCCCGGACCCCTCTTGGAAGTCCTCCTACCTCCTGAACTCGTGACGTGGCGCTGCCCCACGCAACATATGACTTTGGCTTTCCTTCGTCTGTGATGCGCACGCCATTCACCCACCAAGGACAAAAACGAACAGAACGAAAACGCGCTCCTGCGAGTCGAAGAGGCCGACCTCTCAGACCTAGGTGTCTCAGGTGGCTCGGCAACGCAAACATGGTGCAGCGCGTTCCTACCATCACTGCAGAGATGAAACTACGCGATGCTCTTGCAGAAGATCCAGCCCACGCCCTATCCTCTTGCCAGCGAAGGAATAGCAAAGGTGTGGACTCCAACCCGCCAAAGGTAGGATGAGAACAAGCTGGACAAAAAACAAAAAATCTGGCTTTCTGCAGGCCGATCACAACCACACAGCACAAGTCATTGTAGAATTGTTAGCCGCGGGCAGGGACCTACCTGAGTCGTTGACAGCATGATGCAGCTTGATTAATGCAGTCAAGACCTCACAATTAATAAACTTAATAAACAGCCAGATACCATCTGTCTCCCATGTGTTCGAAGACTCGTCCCAGGATGCACAAGCCTTGCAGTCAGGGATATAAGGCAGTATAAGGCAATATATATAAGGGCTGGACTTCGGGGATGGGGCTCGAAGATGGCGCAGTGCACTACGCACGGCACCCTGCACGACGGTCATCGTCGTTTTTTGCTCACTGGCTTCTGGTTTCTGCCCAGGCTTAAGCTTCCGAAGCCGGAAGATATTAACCAAAGGCATCGGATGTCGCAGTCCCGACTCATTTTCACCCGCCCTGACGCCTTGTCAGCAACCGCGTTGCTGCCGCTCAACAGGGGCATGGTCAACCTTAGCTCCACCCATATTTAAACCCTTAGATGGGTATGCAAAGCGAGGCCAGCCCAGACAAATCTCGGAAAAAGTGTTGGAATCAAGTGCTTAGCTGGATTTATTTGGTCTATGACCACCGGGAAGCCCGAAAGCCAAGCATGTCGGCTCCCATGTTACCCAAGACTATGCCAGACTCAGACCAGGCCGCTCGAAGGGCTCAAGAAGCTCACCATTCACCGACTCGGACAGAACTCTCAAGCTCCTTGGAAGAAGTGGTCGCGGGAGTAGGCAGCACACCAAGTAGACGGTGAACATGAGAAGAATGCATAATTCAACGCTTTAAAAGCCAAAATTGGCACAAGTCCTCGCGGTTTTGGGAAGGAAAAACGTCGCTTTCCCCGTGCGTCTTTGAGCTGGTGACATGGCTCTTATTCGTCCTACTGTTGTCCTTTTTGTGTCAGGTCTTTGGGATTTGGTGTCTTGGGCTTCTGTAATTTCCAGGGTCTGGTGGCGCTGGTTCTCGGACTGTCTGGGGCTGCCAAGGATATTTTTCGTTCCCACGTTGCCGGCGTTCGGTCTCTCCTGGACGAGCTCCCCGACTGTTTGGGAAGGCTGCACTTCTCGCGTCGGACAAAATTATGAAGCAGTACTCACACTTAGCCAGTCCCCTTCAGTCCCTGAAGCTGCTTCAAGGAGGCGCGCCCTCAGCTTGCTAAAGGAACAGAATCAGTCAGGTTCAGGGTATGGGTTTCGGATTAAGAGGATTCAGGGTAGTCGGTCATAAGGAAGCGTTTCGATACCCCTTCGTCTCTGCCTATTTGCCCAACCTCCGCCACCCCAAGATTCCAGATGAACAGCCCTTTACGGGTAGAGCAGCCGAAATACAATGGGTCGGACAGCACCACGACGCCACTGTTCTCACTGGATGCTTGGATCAGTTCGGCCTCGCGTCTTGTGCATGTGGGAAACGGCGCGGGGTGCAGGGCCTATTGATGATGGGGGTTTCTATTAGTATTACGTCCTAAAGGTCCAGATGCAGCACCAGGTTGATTGTATGGGTGATTCAGAGAGCGGTTAACCTGGCATGCGATTCCAAGGGTGTGAACGTATGGGCGAATATAATA